GGGAAATCAACCAACTTGCTTTGTCTATTTATGCCAAAAGTCGTTTTGAGCGAGGATTTTAAGAATTCTGTAGTTGCCCTTTCTATTTCAATGCACTGCCTAACGTGTCCGTCCAATGTCCGTCTGGTGAAACTCTGTTCATTGAAATTTGCTTGCATTTCATCAAAAGTACACTCACAATGACGACATTTGCTATATGCAAAACCGACTCCTTCCTTAAATCCTGCAAGCTCATGCTGGGCAAGAGTGTCTCCGCACACAGCAACAACTGCTCCATTTAAATAAAATTCCCCATTCACAGTGTTAATCTTAACGCCATTGTACAGTAACTTCAAGTCTTCATCTATTCTCCGTAGAATAATATCTACACCACACTCATCTATGTCCTTAGACTTTGCGATTGCGAGAAGTCTGATTGAAGCCAACTTTGATCTAAACTTTGGGTCTATGTTGCCTAAAGTGTAATAAAACATTAGTAATTTATTTACACTTGCACGTGACCCTAGGGGGTTACAAATTTCTATCTCATCGGAGTACAGTATCAGTTGTAAAGCAGAATTCTTTTTCGAAAACAGTGGGTGGGTTTTGAAAATTCTTCCATCATTGATGTCATACAAAAAACTGGCCTTGGGGCAACTCTGAGGTCCAGAACGGAGCATGTCAAATAGTCTTGAATTGGATAATAACTGTTTTAGACTTTCAATTAGAGGGATGTAGTAGAAAGACTTGTTTTTGATTGCAAGAACTCTAGATTCTCCCTTTTTAACTCTACAGGCATACTTGGAAATGATGATCTCCTCAGGTGTAACGGGATTAAAATGCATCTGTGTTGCTCGGTCCTGTAGGTTTGTAGTTGCACATAGCGGAAAGGGATCCTGAAAGTTGTCCAGTGTTGAAAGAACTTCTTCTTGTAAAGGTCCATTGCTGTCAGGATGTCTTTCAAGGATGGTCTTCATTTTTTCTCTCAAGGACGTCAGAAGAGCTGTTTGATATTGCTGGACACCAAGGACAATGTTGTTGACACTCCTCTGATGAAAAAAAGAAACAAAAAACAAAAGAAAACAACAACATCAGAGACATGAAAACATAAAAATACAATACTCAATGACTGGCTTCAGCTCAAATAAATGAAATGTAATCAAGTTATAACCTAAAATATTGTTTATTAGTATTAATTAATAATGATTGATTGTGGTTCTGCACTAGGTATTTGAGTACATGGTATAAATGTAGGGCTGGGCGATATGGCAAAAAAAAAAAATCTCCGATTTTTTTACACCAAATCCGATTTTCGATTTTAATCGATTTATTTTTTTCTATTTAAAAACAAACTACAACTGACAAAGAAATAGATTTTCCTTTATGCAGTTTAATCTAAATCCCCATGGAGCATAAGTGTAACAGGAATTAAGCCTTAAAACATGCTTGTAAACGAGATGGCTCTGCCATTGTAAACAGTGAAAATGTAGCTTAACAGTTTTATAATAACTTCACTTACAATGACACTATGCACCTTCAAAATAACTTAAATCACACAAACAAGGCCCATCGCAAATATATCAATCCTATTAAACACATGCATTATTTACATGAAATATCACATTTTTAAAACTGATTACTCAAAATAGAAATGTTGTAACAGACAGTATTTTCCAAAAGCCTCCTCGGGTTTTCATGCTTGTTCTTTCAACTGTGCCTGAGTAACTGTGCTGTAGTACAACGCTCGGTCCAGCTGGTGGCGCTAATACTAACTTCAGTGACTCCCGCATTGTGCGAGCTTCCTGTTTACATTCTGATGCTGTAGCTAACCGCTACTGTAGCAGCTACTGTAGCTAACAGCTACTGTAGCAGCTACTGTAGCTAACAGCTACTGTAGCAGCTACTGTAGCTAACAGCTACTGTAGCAGCTACTGTAGCTAACAGCTACTGTAGCAGCTACTGTAGCTAGCAGCTACTGTAGCTAGCAGCTACTGTAGCTAACAGACAGCGGGGAACACGGTGTTTGTATCAGAGCAATGAGAGCAATGTGTGAGACGTGTCTTTCCCCAAAGTGCAGCGGCTCAGTGGGACACGAGTGTGTGCGCGCCACGGACACGGGAGTGCGCTTTGGAATAACGAGCGTGAGAGAGCGTGAAAGATGTGGCGTACGACCGGAGCCTGTGTGTGTGTGTGTGTTTTGGCGATTAAATAAAGTCTGATTCTTGAACGTTTGAAGTGTTATTGCAACAGCACCAACTGTGAGAGCGAGCATCAGGCCAGAGGGAGACTGTTAGCATTAGGTTAGCTTCAAAATGACTGCTCAACACCATAGACCCGCGGTTAGCGCGTTAGCGCTGTAGTTCTGCGCTGGAGAAAATAAAAATCGAATTTTTAAAAAAGAAATTGCCCTAAACGTAAAACTCGAATTAATGATTAAAATCGATTAATCGCCCAGCCCTATATAAATGTAAAAACTTAATGCAAGAGTGACCTCTGAGGAGTGTGAACTTTATGTCAATATTATTTATTTGTAGTAAAATAATAATGATAAAATGCTTTATTGTTAAAATCAATTATTAATTCCAGTGAACTAGACTTAAGAATTGTCCACTTTTTTCAAATTAACAATGACACCCCCCTATTATTAGATGAAACGGTACCTGTGATAGGTGGCATTGCTCACGCACACCAATAGCAAATGCAGCTGCACATCTGGCAAGATCAACAGTTTCTCTTCCACCCTACAGGTAAAAAAGAAGACAATTGTGTAAGAAAAATAAGTAACTCAGAATGTGAAAAAAAAAGCAAAAAAATAAATAAATACACCCAACTGTTGTATCTTTTTGCTATTTCAAAATTCCTACGAGGAGGCATATCTAGTCAAGCTGCAGATTTTGTGAAAAATGTACGACTTATTTAATTAAACCTCAATCTTTATGGAATCTACTCTGGAGTTAATTGAAAGAAAAAGCAAGCTTAAGTTGAAAGCTCAAGTTCATGGAGCATCCAACCACACCCAAGTCAGGTACACAACACCAGTAAATAATGAGTTAATTTCTGTTTAATTATCTTAAAAAGGTCTACTTTAAAGATGCCAAATCGGCATTAAGTATTGTAACTAAGCCTACTTTGCTTTCCAAATCTGAGTTTCAGCAGATTCCTGCATTTGCATTTCAATACTGGCATTCTTATACTAAAAACGTTATACCTATTTAATTATTCTTATCAAGTAGCTTGTCTCAAAAAACACACAACTTTAATCCCTTAACCCCCACCTGAACCAAGCACATTTTCTCCAGTTTGGCATTACCCAAATCTAAAAACGTATTGAAAAAAGCGTCAAAATAGTAACGAAACACGAGGATGAAAGTACTGTACAACAAAAAAGTGATACTAAAGTAAAAAAAAAAAAAAATAATAATAATAATAAAGAAGCGGGGGCGACAGAAACACAATAAACACACGGAAACAAAAATAATATTAGAAAGTGATGAGAAGGCAAACAAACACAACACACACTCACACACAAAGTACATTACCTGATTCTGACGCGGTGTTTGAACCTCAGCTGGGTCTTTCTCCATCAAATTCTGACCTTCCTGTAGCTCCTGCTCCAACATAGCCGACCCATCTGAGAGTTCTGACAGTGACTCTGGCTCTGCTTCAGTGGCATTGCCATTGCTATCAATTTGTCTTGCTTCGGTAGTATAGTCGGCAAAAATGGCTGTACCAAACGTTTCATGTCCTAACACATCTGCATCGAATGAATCCGTCAGCCAACCTCTAGGAGGGTTCCCTGTGGCGAAGTATTGTGGATGTGTGCGCCTGAGATGGTAGTAAAGAGTTGAAAACGCGGTATTCCTCGGCGCATCCATCTACTCCACAAATAACACGGAAATCCGGACTGCGACTGTGTGCAGTATTGATATGACTTAAAAGAGACTTCAGCGTTAATGCAACAAAGACGAAACAAATAACGCACCTCCAGCAGGCCATTGTATCGCAAGAAAGTCGCGCAGAAAGTGTATTTTTTTGATAGTCAAGTCCAAAAGCAACTCCAGTGTCTTCGAGCCTGAAGTGGAACTTTTACCACCGCTAGTTTGGCATATACCAACTTGATGGGGGTTTAATCCAAACTGTAACTAAATAAAATGGACACAAATAAAGTAAAATAAAATAATACACATCACTCAATGAATAATTTGACTATATACCCAGTTAGAAGTAACCAAGCAATTGAATTTATTCAATAAAAAATGTATGTTGTATGTAGGAGCCTCCCAGTGGTATCACCCGGAATCAACCATGTTTACCCTAAAGGGTGTGCGTAATTGAATAAGACACAATTAAACAATTAAAGCAAGTTATTTTAAATCAATTCAAAAGAGATTTACACATTATACTGACTGTTTTATGAATGCACACATTAATTGATTGGATGTAGGCGGAAAAATTGAGATGTGCACCCCCTTCGTGTTTCGTGTTGTTACCCTACACCATTTGAATTTGCTGTGTCACAGTCACAGGCGATCTTGGCCACCGTTGAAAGAAAAACTGTACGAGAACACTTCAGCAAGAAAGAGAGGTAAGCAATTTGGAACATTTGATATATAAGCAGTGTGTAGCCTAATCATTGTTTTAAATTCAAGCAGAGAGAACAAATAATTTAATTTCATTTGGGCGGGGGAGCGGCTAATGGAGCATGCTAACAGATGCTAGCGTTAGCTTAGCAGCCGTCGCACATGGTTCAGAGAACATTTAGTAAATTAGCTATAACGTTGATATTGGTAGGATTTCTAGCTATGATATTGATGAGGGAAAAGTTAGCCTTTGTCAGTCTTGAATTAACTTATCTTTGACCCATTTCCTGGCTACTTGAATTCCCTCACAAGGTCTGGGTTTAAATTTATATTTTGATATTAATTTGAGTGATTAAAGTTGGCTCAACCCAGTTTATTCAGGAATCAGGTTAGTTGATTATATATTTTGTAAGCATATTTTGTTTTGTAGGTCACTGAGCAATGGAGAAACTGGATGAAGTAACCGTATCCATCCTTAAAGGTTAGATTATATAATATATTTGTGTATATATATTGTATCGCCACTTGTTCAATTCATCTGGCGTTTGTCTTTATTAGCTGCAAGCATTGACGAGCGAATGCTTTTAACATTGAACCGTGATGATCTGAGGGACCTGTTTCCTGGGCCTGAGCACTTTATCAGAAGAAAACATGTGTGGTCAATAATTCATCCTGAGGTATTGTATACAAATATGTAGTTAAACTAATCTCAAGAAGGTGTTCTTTTATTTTTGCAGTACTTGACATTATTCTTTTTTCGTTCTAAACCAGGAAGACCATCCTGTACCACAGAAACCTGAAACAACTTCACCCAGAGTTGCAACAGCCAGCCCTCGAACTGCTGATGCGTATAAAAGCCCGCTGAAAACCTTGCAGCTACCCAGTCCTCCGGAATATGTTGTCTACACAGACAGTGAGTTGGAGCAATGCCGAAAGACCTACTCTGAATTGGCCCTTGCTGGCAGGGAACATGAATGTGTCATGTCAAAAGAACTGAGATGCAGGCTGGTGAGAAATACAATCACAAGTATGGTGTCCCTTTTGAGAGCAAGCAAAGACCAAATGGAGCGATACCCCTCTAAGACCGAAATCACTGCAATGGCAAAAAGAATTGTGGAATATTATCCTATGCTGCAGGATCAGGATACTAGCGTGAAACATGTAAGTTCTTTTATTCGTGTCTCCTTCATAGATCATTTTGTTTTGTTCAATAAGCATGTAATATATGTATTTGTCACCAGGAGAGCATTAATGCCAAGTTGCAAAAAAGGCTGCAAAATATAAAAACTCCAACCAAAAAGCAAGGACCAACACCTGACAGGGGACGGCCAAAGAGAAGGCTCACTGACCTCTCTCCGAGTGATAAAGAAGCTGATGATGAAGATGCTGATTGCAGTTCTTCCAGTGGTGCATCTACTCTGCTGTTATCGCCCGCCAGCAATTCTGATGATGCCTCCACTTCATGTAAGTGTATACATGTAATTTTGTAAAATGGTTGTCAACACAGTCGTTTACAGCTAATGGTTTGTGGATAAGTCTATTTCTGTAACTATTAAAACTGAAATGCTTTTGTACCTCTCTCCATCTTAGCTGACAAGGATAGTCTGCTAATACAAGCAAGACATTACAAAACATTACAAGAAATGTGCAAGAAGCCAAAACCGAACCAAGATGATGTGTCCCAGCTATTAGACCTCGAGTTTGAAGCCAGAAGAGCCTTCATTGACTCTGACTCCATGAAGGAGGAGAACAGAGCGTCACTCATCTTGGATGCATATCCTTGCTTCAAAGAATTGCATCATGTAAGTTATTGGGGGAGTTCAAAGTGTAGTTCTTAGCTTTCAAATGAGGCGTTACACTGGCCTCTAGGCTAAGTCTTTAGATTTGGATAAAGCTAAACTGGAGAAAATGCGCTCCATTAAAATGGGGGTTTAGAGGTTACATTTCAAATGTGTTGCGTGTGGTATTTTACGTTGTTATTATTATTATTATTAGTATATATTTTTAAAACCTCTGTTTTTAGGCGTTGGGTGAGCTGCGCAGAATTTTGGAGCCAGAAAACAAGAAGTTCATAAGTCAGATAAAACTAAGATGGGAGGAATTCTGCTCCAGGGTAGAATTCTATGGCGTGTCAAAGAAGGCAATGAAGCCGCCGATGACCATGGACAAAAGTAAGTATTAAAATTTGAATACCAAGTACTTCATCCTTTGAAATGTAGGTTTATGAAGGTTTGTTTTTGCTGTGTCCAGCTGAAGCCCACCTTGCATTGATGAAGGCTCTTCCAACGCTCTTTCCCTCACCTGCCCATCCACCAAAAAAGATGGGGACTCCTTGTCAAGCGTTTCTACATGTCCTGAAGGTAAATTTTGTATAATTTACGTTATAGAGATGGACAACAGACTCACTACCACAAAATTAGGGAGGGGCTATGCAAAAACAAGTTTTTATATAGCATGTTACAATCTTGTTCTTATTTGTCTTTAAATGTGTGCCATATCTTTTGTGTCTTGCAGCCTACAGAAGATCCAGATTCTGTCCTCCAGAAACGAAGCTTGCCATGTCCAGTAGTGGTGTTCGATGGCAGCAAGTGTGTCATTGCAGTTGGTAATCTGCCAATTACAACATTTGATAAAGAAAAACTTGGTGAGGCTATGATTTATGTGATGGCATACTTTTATGCGCTCCATCTGACTTATCCCAAATGCGTGGCAACCCTGCTGTCTGTCATTCAGACAGAAGTTCTCCAGGATGCCATTCATGAGGGTGACACTACATCATCTTACAGAAAAGCCCTGGCAGAATTCCATGCATTTATTGGAAAGTAGTTTGTAGATTTCAGATTAGATTATGGGGGGGCACTTATCTGGTGGCACTGTTGTTTAAAGAGAGTTGCACATATGACCAGAGATCAGTTTTTTTTTTTTTTTTTTAATACCAGTCAGCCCATTTTATTTCAGGTTTCAAAAAACATTGAGATTAGTTACATTCATTGTGTCTATAACACTCAAGGTTCAGTTGGTCAGACACGAGGATTAAAGATGTTGCAATCTTTGATTGTTGATTGTACCAATCAAGTGTACAAATAAACATTGAGAAAGATAATGCTCTGCTTCAGTTTTATTTCCATTTGCCCTGTACAAGAAATATAATCTTAAAGTACTAGTTTTAGGATTTATTAGCTAAATTTAAGGAATAAAACAATCTTTAAAATGATTAAATGTACTAGTTTTTAGATTATTTGCCTTGATTTGTTCCTTATAATAAGTGTTTTTAGATTATTTTAAGATTCAATTGTCCTGATTTGTTGCCTAGAAAAAGTGTTTAAGGCTTATTTTAAGATTTATTTGTCCTGATATGTTGCCTAGAATAAGTGTTTAAGGCTTATTTTAAGATTTATTTGTCCTGATATGTTGCCTAGAATAAGTGTTTAAGGCTTATTTTAAGATTTATTTGTCCTGATATGTTGCCTAGAATAAGTGTTTAAGGCTTATTTTGAGATTTAATTGTCTTCATTTGTTGCTTAGAATAAGTGTAAAATACTTATTTTAGCTTTATTTAGATCTAGATATTATTCTTGGTAAGAAAAAATCACTTACTGCACTGGCAGATAATTTCACTTGTTTCTAGTAAATTTTCACTAAAAACAAGTGTATTTATCTAGTATTAAGGAAGTGGGATTTTGCAGTGTTGTACCGGTACCTCCTTGACTTCTTCTTAGCTCCGGCTCGACATCCTCTGAAGGGCATCTTGATCTCCAGAGGGATCGGATGCTCCATCCCACATGGGCTTCGTCGTAGCCGAAGGAGCTCATCTTGGGAGTACTTGGTGAAATCCTGCCCGTGCCTATTTTTTAACATATTTGCTTCCCTCCGGTTGATTTACACTTGATGTGCTTGTTTCGGACTGTGCATCCTCTTTGCTCTGGATCAGTGTAAAACCATAAACATTGTACTGGAATAAAATTAATCTACTGCAAGAGAAGTTGGAAAAGCTAGAAAATTAGTGGGCCGCTACCAAATATTGAGGGGAAAGTATATGAAATGTAGTTGTCTGATTCCGCTAAATACTTTTTACTATAGTGTCCACACAGGGGACTTCCTTCATTGAGTTCTTTAATCTGTTCTGGAATAGGCACAAGCTTTTTGAAGGAAAAGGCCCTCGTTTGTTCACTTACGGAGTAAAAGTGTTGATGGATACCCTTGCTTTTGCTCTGAGACCTCACCCTGGGCAGAGTGTGCAGCCATCAAAAGGGAGGTTTGAGCAAAGGGCTTCTCTGGCAACAACACAATCATCTCCACCGACTCCAAAGGTCTCATGCTTCTCCATCACCTTGAAAGATCTCAACACTTCCACTGTCATCAGCAGCTGCCTCATCATCACCTTTAGATAGATAGATATATACTTTATTGATCCGAAAAGGAAATTGTGCATTGGTCCCTTGCTCGCAAAAATACAAACATAAAGATACAAAACAGTTAAGAAATGTTAAATGTTAGAAATAAAATACATTAAAATCATTAAAATTATTATTAAAAGAGAAGTTAAGGCACACTTGTATGTTTGTATGATTGCGAGCAAGGGACCAATGCCTTTTTGGATCAATAAAGTATATATCTATCTTTGTAGAGTAAAAAACTCTACAAAGTAGTGGTAACTGAGCAAAAAAAGGGCCTGGCGCTCCACATGAAAAATAAGAAATGTCCACACAAAAAATCTTGAATAATGAAAATTATATTTATTTTACAACAAAAAAAATGTCTTCAAAATGTACCAAAATCAAAATGAAAAGCAGGTGTGAGAGAGAGAGAGTGAGTGAGTGAGGGATTGAGTGTGACTGTCTCTTCCTGCTGCAGTCACACCTGCAGGTGATACTGCAGACATACATAAGGTGTTTGTGTTGCGCTTCACCAGTGTGTCCACTAGATGGCGACATAAGCGTCCATTGGGGTTGTGCAAAGTAACTAAGCTATATTTTGGCTCCTACAATCTTTACTGGTTACTGTTGATGGTGTGGTTTTCACTGGTATACTGTTGATGGTGTGGTCTTTAGTAGTTACTGTTGATGGTGTGGTCTGCACTGGTATACTGTCTTTGATGGTGTGGTCTGCACTGGTTTACTGTCTTTGATCAGAATCAGAATCAGAATCAGAATCATTTTTATTGCCACGTGAGAGTAACAAAGTTATCACTTGGAAATTGTCTTGGCAGAGAGCGTGCCACTTCGCCATTTGCGGCGCTGTGTGCAGCAAGAAACAGCAGAGAGCAATAACATACAGTTCACAGACAATTGGATAGACACATTGTGCTTTTTATAAAACACGGATTTTTTTCTCGGGATGAGCACCTCCGGCGGCCGGCCCAATGTAGCTGTCAGAGGGGGGCGGGATCAGGGAGGGGGTGAGTAGGAAAACAATAAGGAATGGAGGGGAGGGAGGGAGCAAGATGGATAGGTAGAGGGAGGCGGGGGTGAGGGATCCTTGCTGGAGACTGAAATAGTGTGAGTTGTTGTAGATTGTGGGACCTTGTTTATGGCCTTGGTCAAGGAATGTGAGATAAGAGTGGGGAGAAGACACAGCAGGAGAAACACACATCGCCTGAGAGGGACAATATTATATGCAATGTAGCATCAAAAGCAGGCAGATATTCTATTAATTCCAATTAAACCGAATTACGGCGCCCTCAGACCTCCGTACACAGGGGCAAATCCAAGCCGGGTCAGAGAGTTCTAGCCTGACAAACAATGTCATTCAATCTCAATTCCAGAGTTTTATGCCCATCGAGTGAACGAGCTGCGAGATCTTTGATCAACTGTTCCACCAACACCACTCTCCTTTGTCCAGACACGGCACTCTCAACCACGACACGGCTTAGCTCCTTGTACATCCCATCAATTTTGTCGGCCAGCAGGTCGTGAATCTTGCGAACTGCCATGCCACCGAATTGATGGTGTGGGGGGATCCATTGCTGATCCTCCGGCAGGCGGTAAGTCCACAGGAAGATCGCTGCTCCGTCAGCGGTGACACAGCCTCGGGCAAAGTGGAGTTATCGGGGTTACCGGTTGTGGTAAAGACAGCTGACATCAGTGAGAGCAGTTGGAGTAGGTCTCGTGGGTCAATGCTCCACCAACTAAGCCACTGTCGCCTCATCAGCAGTAGTAGTACTTTCACACACTGTACCTGGACCTCAGCAGTAGTAGTACTTTCACACACTGTACTGGACCTCAGCAGTAGTAGTACTTTCACACACTGTACCTGGACCTCAGCAGTAGTAGTACTTTCACACACTGTACCTGGACCTCAGCAGTAGTAGTACTTTCACACACTGTACCTGACCTCAGCAGTAGTAGTACTTTCACACACTGTACCTGACCTCAGCAGTAGTAGTACTTTCACACACTGCACCTGGACCTCAGCAGTAGTAGTACTTTCACACACTGTACCTGACCTCAGCAGTAGTAGTACTTTCACACACTGCACCCGGACTGGACCTCAGCTGTAGTAGTACTCTCACACACTGTACCTAACCTCAGCAGTAGTAGTAGTAGAGATGCAAGATGGCTGCCATGAGCAGTGGTGGTTTGTTGGGCTCCACTATTGCTTTTGTATTTCCATTGTTGCTTAAGTTTTGTGTGCTCGATTTGGTTGGACTTGTCCACACTATTCAACATCTCTACTTGTGTGGAACAGAAGTCTTAAACTGGACAAAAGAACCAAGAACTCCGACTCCAAACTGTAGCACAAGAGACAAAGGATACAACTGCACATGGCAATTGTGTTGGCAGCATCTCTGGTCTTTCATGGACTATATCTGGACACCACTACACCCCAGTTCAAGAAGGAGTAAACACCAATACAATTCCAAAGAGAAAGCAAAAAGCTACGAAAGGTATGTCTTTGTGTGGCTAGTTTGCTGTTGGTATCTTTGTGTTCTACTGGGACCATGCTGGACTAAACAGGAAATAACATGCAGGCCAACTCATGCTGTACCAATGATTGTGAAACCATCTCTAGGCTTTTTTGGATATGGATTTCATGTTTTGTATTCAACATGCTGGCAAAATAAACACGAACTTTGCACCACAAGCAAGTCTAAACAACTGAGGAGCAGGAAGAAGGGATCCTTCTGTACATTGCTTCTCCTTTTGCTCCTGTTAAGTGGTGACATACAACTAAATCCAGGTCCTTTAAAGAACATTTGCTCAAGTTTATTTGTGGAATTACACACTGAAGAGTGTCTACAGCACCATCTTGTGGACATGCCTAGTTCTGCAATTGCGAGGACCCTTACTACTGCTGCACAAGATGAAGATTTTTCATTGAAGTTAAATGGGAGCCCTTTGGATGCGGCAGCAAAAGTTGTTGGAAATGTTGCAAACCCTGAAATGGAAAATGCAGCTACCATCCAGTCTCTCTCTGCTTTTCACCTTGAAAATCAAGCAAAATCAAGTGCTAAAAAGATTTCTGGATATGCGTCCAACAAGCAAAAAGAACTGAAATATTTTCAAACTGTGAATCATGCAAAGGTGATTTGGGATGCAAAAGCTAAACCTAAAGGTATATTTGGAGGTCATCTTAATATTCGAAGTGTTCTGTCAAAACTAAATGAAGTTCACCATTTACTGAGTAATTCAAATTTAGATTTCTTAGCCATGAGTGAAACCTGGCTACATAGTAACATCTCAACAAACATGATTGATGTTCCTGGTTACACATGTTATAGGAAAGATCGTCCAAATGGAAAAGGGGGAGGGGTTCTGATTTATATTAGAGATAGACTTAAATGTTCAGTTATTGATTTTAATACTTTTGGAATAGAATGCCTTGGATTAAACGTTGAGCTATCGCCTACAATGAAATTTAATATTATGGTTTTATATAACCCACCATCTCATAGTGTATCTTTTTATAGTGATTTTGATGAACTATTAAAACAGATTAATATAAAAAGTGAAACAATTTTAATGGGAGATTTTAATATCAATTGGATGGAGAATGGGAGAAAAGACAAACTAAAAATTATAGCATCAAAACATAAACTGCTTCAAATTGTTAAAAATCCAACAAGGATTACTCGGTCTAGTCAAACTTTAATAGACTTGATTTTTACAAACAAATCAGAACGAGTTACTAAAACTTACAACTTTGTGACAGGTCTATCTGATCATAATTTGACGTTGATTGTGCGAAAACTAACCAAGAAGCGACTGGAGGGAATTCACCCTGTGTCCGTTATTAAAAATGGAAAAATAATTCCAAAACATAAACAGCCCTTATTTGAACTTGAATTGAAAAACATAAACTGGAACAATGTGACACAAATGGAAAATGTAAATCAGTGCTCTACTTTTTTAACAGAGAAACTGAAAAATGTAATTCAGAAATTTGCTCGCGTTTCAAAAACCAACAGGAGGAAAGTGACCCTGCCATGGATATCTGATCATATTTATCAACTTATGAAAAAGAGGGATCTAGCACTGAAAAAATCTATCAAAACTAAATTACAGACAGATATACTGGTCTTTAAGGGACTAAGGAATAAAGTTGTTAGTGAATTAAGAAAAGCCAAGTCCTCTTATTTCATGCATCTGTTTGCTGAATCACATGGAAACAGTTCGCTTATATGGAAGCACATTAATAAATTGACCAATCGTAATTCGAGTCAGAGTAAATGCATAACTAAACTGGATGTAAATGGAACGATCAGTAGTAATGCTTTGGAAATTGCAAATGAATTTAACTTCTATTTTGTTGATTCAGTGGAGAAGCTTGCTGCAAGTTTCAATTCAATTTCTGTCGCATGTGATGATGTGAAAGATTCAAATTCATCCTTTAATGTCACACAAGCTGATCAAAAAAAGATCCATACAATTATTAATCAATTAAATAGTTCAAAAGCCAAAGACCTTTTTGATTTAGATACACATTTAATCAAAAAGTATAGTAACGAATTGTTAAAACCAGTATCACATTTAGTGAATTTATCAATCAAAAATAATGAATTTCCTGAAAATCTCAAAACGGCTGTTGTGACTCCAATTTTTAAATCAGGAGCTACAGATAAAGCTTGCAATTACCAACCGATCTCAATTTTACCTGTGATTTCCAAAGTGTTAGAAAAGCTTGTGGCTGAACAGTTGATGAACTACTTGGAGGAACATAGTCTACTAAACCCTAAACAATTTGGATTTCGACCAAAGCACTCCACTGAGATGGCTGTATGTCACTTTACAGAAACCATCAAAACTAGTTTGGATAAAGGTAAATGTGTGGGAGCAGTATTTCTCGATTTAAAAAAAGCTTTTGATACTGTAAACCACCAAGTACTCTTGAGAAAACTGAAACAACTAAACTTTTCCAAACAAGCTTTAAATTGGTTTAAATCATACCTTGCATCAAGACAACAGTGTGTAAAAATAAATGGTGTTAAATCTACCATCCAAAAATGTAATTTAGGTGTACCACAAGGGTCGATATTGGGCCCCTTGTTGTTCTGTCTATACATAAATGATTTACCGGAAATCTGCAAAAATACCAGCTGCCAATTGTATGCAGATGACACAATCATTTATGTAGCTGAAGATTCCCCTAAACAGGCTTCAGACTTGTTGAACAGACAGCTTGTCAGCACATCTCAGTGGCTGCGGGACAACTGTCTGACCTTAAATTATACTAAAACTGTTGCCATGTGTTTCTCTCTAAAGAGAAATTCACCAAATGATCTAAACATTAATATTGACAAAAATAAAATCGAGCAGGTTGATGAGTTTAAGTATTTGGGGGTTATTATAGATTCTAAACTGAAGTTTGATGCCCATGTCAGAAAAATGTCTAAGACCATCAAGACAAATTTAAATTGTTTCCGTATAATTAGGTCTTGTGTATCAACTCAGGCGGCACGAGTATATCTACATGCTATGATTTTATCTCATATGTCGTATTGTTCAATCGTTTGGGGCCAGGCCTCACAATCTGTCCTAAAGCCTTTAACATCACTCTACAAGCAAACACTTAAAGTGTTTGATCAAAAACCAATGAAGTGGCATCACTGCACTATCATTCAAAAATATAAAATGATGACATTCGATAGCTTCGTCAGTTTCTCTTTTATAAAAAATATATTCAAGTGTCTTAATGGTCTTGCTCCGTCTGTAATGTGTCAGTTAGTACAAAAATACACTAATCAAGGAGTGAGCACCAGAGCTGGAGTCAGCGGGAACTGCAGAGTGAAGTTTTGTAAAACTGCTCTGGGTCAGTCTGCGTTCTCAGTAAAAGGGACACAGTTATGGAACTCTTTGCCACTGGAGCTAAAGTCCCAAATGGACCTGAGACTTTTCTCACAAAAGCTGAAGCTGTGGCTAAAGAACAAACAAAAGTGTGAGCACTGAACAGTTTGGCTGGACTTGGGATGGGAAGTGGTCAGATATGTCTTCTCCTCTTTCTTTTTATTGTTGTATTGTTTGATGCCTTTTACTGATTTTTCATCTTTCTGTTCTGTTTTAAACCCCTTTGAAAAGCCTAACCAGGGACGGGGGCTGCAAATTAGCCTATGGCTAGACGCCTTATGTACATAACATCGGCCACTGAGCTGGCAATGTTTTCTTGTACTGTCCCTGTCAAATAAACAAATACATAAAATAAATAGTACTTTCACACACTGTACCTGGACCTCAGCAGTAGTAGTACTTTCACACACTGCACCTGGACCTCAGCAGTAGTAGTACTTTCACACACTGTACCTGACCTCAGCAGTAGTAGTACTTTCACACACTGCACCTGGACCTCAGCAGTAGTAGTACTTTCACACACTGCACCTGGACCTCAGCAGTAGTAGTACTTTCACACACTGTACCTGACCTCAGCAGTAGTAGTACTTTTACACACTCTACCTGACCTCAGCAGTAGTAGTACTTTCACACACTGCACCTGGACCTCAGCGGTAGTAGTACTTTCACACACTGCACCTGGACCTCAGCAGTAGTAGTACTTTCACACACGATACCTGACCTCAGCAGTAGCAGTACTTTTACACACTGTACCTGACCTCAGCAGTAGTAGTACTTTCACACACTGCACCTGGACCTCAGCAGTAGTAGTACTTTTACACACAATACCTGACCTCAGCAGTAGTAGTACTTTTACACACTCTACCTGACCTCAGCAGTAGTAGTACTTTCACACACTGCACCTGGAACTCAGCAGTAGTAGTACTTTCACACACGATACCTGACCTCAGCAGTAGCAGTACTTTTACACACTGTACCTGACCTCAGCAGTAGTAGTACTTTCACACACTGCACCTGGACCTCAGCGGTAGTAGTACTTTTACACACAATACCTGACCTCAGCAGTAGTAGTACTTTCACACACTGCACCTGGACCTCAGCAGTAGTAGTACTTTCACACACGATACCTGACCTCAGCAGTAGCAGTACTTTCACACACTGTACCTGACCTCAGCAGTAGTAGTACTTTCACACACTGCACCTGGACCTCAGCAGTAGTAGTACTTTTACACACAATACCTGACCTCAGCAGTAGTAGTACTTTCACACACTGTACCTGACCTCAGCAGTAGTACTACTTTCACACACTGCACCTGGACCTCAGCAGTAGTAGTACTTTCACACACTGTACCTAATCTCAGCAGTAGTAGTACTTTCACACACTGTACCTGGACCTCAGCAGTAGTAGTACTTTCACACACTGCACCTGGACCTCAGCAGTAGTAGTACTTTCACACACTCTACCTGACCTCAGCAGTAGTAGTACTTTCACACACTGCACCTGGACCTCAGCAGTAGTAGTACTTTCACACACTGTACCTGACCTCAGCAGTAGTAGTACTTTTACACACTCTACCTGACCTCAGCAGTAGTAGTACTTTCACACACTGCACCTGGACCTCAGCAGTAGTAGTACTTTTACACACAATACCTGACCTCAGCAGTAGTAGTACTTTTACACACTCTACCTGACCTCAGCAGTAGTAGTACTTTCACACACTGCACCTGGAACTCAGCAGTAGTAGTACTTTCACACACGATACCTGACCTCAGCAGTAGCAGTACTTTTACACACTGTACCTGACCTCAGCAGTAGTAGTACTTTCACACACTGCACCTGGACCTCAGCAGTAGTAGTACTTTTACACACAATACCTGACCTCAGCAGTAGTAGTACTTTCACACACTGCACCTGGACCTCAGCAGTAGTAGTACTTTTACACACAATACCTGACCTCAGCAGTAGTAGTACTTTCACACACTGTACCTGACCTCAGCAGTAGTAGTACTTTCACACACTGCACCTGGACCTCAGCAGTAGTAGTACTTTCACACACTGCACCTGGACCTCAGCAGTAGCAGTACTTTTACACACTGTACCTGACCTCAGCAGTAGTAGTACTTTTACACACTGTACCTGACCTCAGCAGTACAGTACTTTTACACACAAACCTGACCTCAGCAGTAGCAGTACTTTTTCAATCAATCCTTTATTATCTCACAGATGGAGAAATTCAGTTTTGCCTGAATATATTTCTTCCATTCAGATGCAGTCTGTCATTGCTGCGTACCGGTCCTCACTGGCCGATGTAGACACAGGTTTTCATTCCGACCAAACAGGAGCATTCCACAATGTCTTCAGGGTAAAGCTGGAATACCGAAGTTCCAAATCACAAATAGAACTATGTATTAAAGTCTTTGTCTCTTGTTTCTCGCTCTCAAGACTCCGTGGTTATATCACTACTTTTCACACGGAAATCTTTTACCTCCGACACGTCTTTAGATCATATTTTTCAGAGAGAAACGAGAACCCCTCTCAGCCAATCAACTCTCGGTATAGTGGGGGTGTAATGGGTCCATGCGGCAGCAGAGGGCGCCCTCGCCTTAGTTCTGAAGCATAACACAGCAGTTATCGTTGTTTTGTGTGGAAGAAAAGGAGTGTTGAGAGTGTTTGGTAATTTGACTTTTTACTTTTAAGCTGTTTCCGGCTATCACTTTGTATTCAGTGTTTAGCTTCAGTGTTGGGAGTAATGTAAAACTGTGATGTGCTTCGGCTGGAACGCAGTAATGTAAGACATTTCAAACATCCTCTACAGTCAGGAGCGGAACATTTTATTCTAACTAAATTAAATAGTGTTTTGTTTTTATACTCTGCAACGCGAGACCAGCAGGAGACACATCTGCTCCAATAGTATTTGTCTCGAAGAGTTTCTGGGAGAAGACGGCTGCTTCAGCCTCAGCTTATTTCAATAGGGACAAATGGTTGTGTATTTCTTGTATGTGACAAATAAATAATATCTCTCTCTGTTTTTACTTCTACTTACAACAATTCTACTTATACAATTCAGTTTATCATAGGTGCTCAAAGAAAAATAGATCAATACTCAAACTAGATGCTGATATCAGAAAGTATTGAATGAAAACATTGGTCATTATTCTTTTGATACATTTTAAAATAAGGTTTTCTCAGAAGAATGTGGTGATCACAGCAAAACACATTTAAATAGAAAGGACAAGGACATTTTATTATTATGTATTTAATATTTTACACAGACGTTGGTGTCGACAACACAAAGAAAACATCGAAAGAGTTCTGTACAAATATCTGAGCATGTTCAAAAATGAATCTTAAATCCAATTTATTCCAATATTATAATAAATATATAGCATTTATATTTGTATAATATCAAAGATGCAGTCAATGATTGATCCAGACACAATAAAAAAAAAACTGTAAACTTAAACCCCAAAAGTAGTCAAGTTTTTTCAAAAAGGAAAGGACATGACCAGATGCCTGTAACCTAAAAAAAATAAATCATAAACATTTTGGAGTGCGCTGATAGAAATAAACCAATGGGATGCGTTCATCCCCCTTGTGTTTTTCGTCAGTGCACATTTGTCCGAGAAAACCAACCAAGTGGCAGTTTCATGTTTGCCACTCGCCCTGTTGTGGCCAACAAAAATCCTTTACTGCACCTTTAATATACATTTTACTGACTCTTCAACACAAGATTCCACTGGTGCACTTTAAGATGATTTAAAGTGCACCAGTGGTGGGTTTGTGGAGGAAGCACCAAAACAAGGCCTCAGTTACAATAATCTGTAACTCGCTGACTCCTCAGTTAAAGCTCAGGTACCTAACTTTTATCCACAGCAAATGGAACTCTGCGATCAGCACCATCTGACTGCTCTCCAGCTTCAATCGCTAGATTTTCTATTGCATGAACTTTTTTGGCCTCTCTCACATCATTAGATCTGCTCTTTCAGACAGACAAAGAGGACCAAACTCCCACCAAGTCTGAGCCCAAAGCGTCAAATAGTGACTCACAGGGCTCAAGAATGCAAAGGATAAACTGTTGTTCTGTGCAAATAACAGTTCTATAGCTTAGTAGAGATTTTATAAATATTTTGTCTGGGGTTTTTGTAGTCCTGACTTATGTATGTGTGTGATTGTCTTGTTTTGGTTATAAATGATAATAATAAGAATAAAAGATGGATAAACAAAAGATAAAAGATAAGTTTTCTAAAAAGACAAAGGCAGCATGTTACTTTTACTTTCTCTGTGTCTTTCTGTCCCGGTCAAATAAATTGTATTATATATGAGAAGTAAAAGTTAGGGACCTCATCTCTAAGCTTCATTTAATTCTTTGTATACAGCCTCATGTCTGAGGGCGGGTCTTCAGCGGTGTTTGCGGAGGGACAGCTGGCGATGGAGAGGGGCCTCCTGCTGGGGGTCCTGGTTGTGCAGGTGTGCGTCTGCAGACCTTCTCCTCTGGTCCGTGTGTTTGTGTCCCGCTTCACTGCATCGCTCTGATCTGCGCTGCGCCTTCAACACATCACAGTCATGTCTGTGGGTGTGTGTCTGTATCTGTGGATGTGTGTGTGTGTGTGTATTTTCAGAGAAGCCTGATCCATGCAATACCAAAGGTGTGTCCAAACTGTGGCCCCAGGACTCTCTGTGGTCGTCTGAGCGTGTGTGAAGGGCCCTGATGTCCCTTAAACTGAGATTCGTGTAAACTGTGTCTTTTCCTACTGAGGTGAAAAAGTCTATTTAAGCCCTATTCGCACGGGGTTAGTTTTACCTGTGGACCTCTGGTTATTTGTAATGATCGCGTAGGACGTCTGAGATCTTAGTCCTGTGCAAATGCGCCATGTCTGTATTTTGTAAAGTAATAATTCCACCGCAAATTACCTCCTGTATTTGTCCAAACACAGACGTAAGTCATCTTTACTTATACAGTACCTTTTTGCAGCAAACTTTAATATGGCTCGTACACATCGTAATTGTTTTCTGTTCCAAGAGTTTTTAGAAGTTGGACGCAGATCATTTCAATATAAGGTTCCATCAGACTGGAATAAACTCCCCACATCCATACAATCCATTCTGTCTTTTGGTTTATGTAAGTTTGAATTATTTAGGTTCCTTGAAACTCCTTGTTTGTGTCACTAATGTTCTGTATTCTGTGTCATTATTGTTCATAGTTTTACCTTGTCTTTTGTAAATGTTTTGTTTTGTTTTGTTTTTGTGTGTGTGTATATAACTTTTCTCATCTTTAATTCGCTATAAATTGTTTTTGTGTATGCGTGTTTGTTTATATGTTTGTATTTATGTTTAGGACCCCCTCAAAAATGAGATGATTCATCTCAAGGGGTTTTCCTTAATAAACTTAAACTTTGGGTTACAAGCGCAGCGCGTAACTCGCGTATCGTGGCTGTGTACACACCAGCACAGACCCTGTGAGGTCTAAGAAGTGTAGAGGACATTATGGGCCAGAGAACTATAATATCCACATGTGTTTGTCCTCATGGCCTCTGTGGCTGCTGTGGTCAGAAGACAGATTAAATGAAAGAAGAAAAAAAAACTATGTCCAGAATCACGGTCAAACCTGCGCCTCCTGCTAATGTTTTTATACAAGTGATGTGTGTGTGGAGCTGATCTAGTGCCAAGGACCATCAGCACAAACATGTTTCCCATGTGTTTTGACTGGAGGCCGCGTTACTATGAGGATCCACTGAGCAGTCATTTACAGACTGCTAATCCCGTGTGAATGCGCTGCAAGTATCACAAAGGCCGGGCGGTGATTTGAAAATTACCAGACGTCCACAGTTAATACTAATCCCGTGCGAATAGGGCTTTAGAGAAACTAGATAAAACTTCACGCTGCATGTATCCACGTAAACTTTGTCAACGTTTTACTCCAGGTTTAGGGTAAGAGTTAACTGAGAGCTTTGTTGCTGTTTGTGGTTCTTTCCACCTGCTGTTTCTGCACTCAACCCTGGACTCATATGTTTGGACACCCCTGACGTATGGGACGTTACCGTAGACCAGTGCTTCTCAATTATTTTCTGCTAGGCCCCCCTTAGTTAGAAGAAAACAATTCCCCCCACCCATCCAGGTGCAATTACACTTTAGGCAAGCAGGGCACTATTTGAGAAGCACTGCCGTAGACTAATGCACTGAATGATCATGCTACATGTATGATCATATGCACATAGCCAGAGTGAGAGGCAGAGACAGACACAGAGACAGACACAGAGACAGACACAGAGACAGTACAGAGAGAGAGACACAGAGAGACACACAGAGAGAGAGACAGGGTGGTACCTCCTTGTGGAAGCGGTGAGTACAGTGCAGTTCCTTGGTTCCTTCTCCGTTCTTCTGCATTACTTCGTGACAAATCAGACACAATCTATTTTCCTCATTCTGTAAAAAAAATGAAATAAAAAATAAATTAAAATTTGTTCACTCTTTGTAGCTTTCCATTTATATTGGATCAAAGTAATTAACCATTATTAAAAGTTAAGACACCTCTGTGAACAGGATCCTGATGGTGGATGACTTCTTCGTTTGGAACAAAAACATAATAAACTTCTGTCACACTAACACTATTTTCAGTGTGCCCCAGGGCAGCTGTGGCTACAGTAGCAGTTTATCATCACTGTGTTTCGAGTGAAAGAAAAATGACATGTGAAGCGTCTTTGAGTGTCCTGAAAAGCCCAATGCATTATTATTATCATCATTAACTTGTTTCTCACCAGAGTGATGCTCCTCAGCCTCTGCTCCAGCGTGACCTCAGGGATGGTGCTGATGCGAGCTTCTGGGACGGTGCTTTTGGGTCGACAGTTGTCTGAGGAGGAGCGGGTAGCTCTGGGGTGAGGCCTCACCTCCAGCTCGTCTCTGGTTCGTACGTGACTCAGACCCGGGGCTATTGCAGCTGCATGGAGCCGGTTCAGACTCATGGTGTCTAACTGAGACTGAGGAGACAGAGACAGAGACTTTAGCAGAGTCTAACTGAGACTGAGGAGACAGAGACAGAGACTTTAGCAGAGTCTAACTGAGACTGAGGAGACAGAGACTTTAGCAGAGTCTAACTGAGACTGAGGAGACAGAGACTTTAGCAGAGAGTCCAGAACTGGAGATGACCTATGTGTCGATTGGCCTGTTGTCTCTCTGTATCAAATATTATTTCTGCCGCCGGTGTTCTGTCGGTGTGTGCCACTTGTCGAGTTTTGCTGCCTCAGCTGTTTATGATACAAAGTCAGCAAATTGTTTAAAAAGTATCAATACAAACAAGTAAAGATACAAATGTCACTTTTAATGCTATTTGAGGCGAGATGTCGATTGTTTCATGCTGTTATATGTGGGTTTTGTAAGTAAAAAGTATTGTAAGTAAGTAAGCTTTATTTATATACCGCCTTTCACAGACCAGAGTCACAAAGCGGTTTACAATTGTTATTTTTTGGGCACTTGTCTCTCACTCCACACAGAGATGGGAGCGGGGTCGCCGAACAGGAAGCGCATGCCAGACCTATTGTACATATTTTTAGTGGTAGGGGAAACCGGAGTACCCGGAGGAAACCTACGCAGACACGGGGAGAACATGCAAACTCCACTCAGAAAGGCCCTGGTCCGGCCGGGATTCGAACCCAGGACCTTCTTGCTGAGAGGCGAGAGTGCTATCCACTCAGCCACCGTGCCGCCAACTAGTTTGTGTGAAGTTTGGTTTAAGTAGTCAGCTGCTCCTGTGGAACCACACTGCTGCTGTGTGATAGCAGTCCCTTTCCTGTCAAGTTGAGCTGCCGCAAACATCATTTTACTGACGTAGGCCAATGCGTGTCCTGTGGTTAAGCTACAGTTAGTTAAAGTTACAGCTTATATTTTGGTTATTATTTCCATTATCAACCCGACAGACCAGTTATAAGATATTAGCTGTCAGATAGTGCACACTATTTTTGCACAATCTGATTTTATCTATTCATAGATAAAACTACTTTTGGTCGGAATAAAAACTGGTAGAGTAGAAGAGTAGAAAGTATCCTAGTTTTTACCATAATGAAGCTGTTTTGACATAACTTTACATGAGTTTCACTATCATTTTCTGGTTTATTTTTCTGAAAACACTTATTGTTTAAACAAATTGTTTTATATTTAACTATTTCCCTTCTAATGATGTGTTGGGTTTAAATGCTAGAACAAGCAGTCTGAACAGTGACGAGACCAGAGAGAGAGACCAGAGAGAGACCAGAGTGAGACCAGAGAGAGACCAGAGAGAAACCAGAGAGAGACCAGAGTGAGACCAGAGAGAGACCAGAGAGAGACCAGAGAGAGACCAGAGTGAGACCAGAGAGAGACCAGAGAGAGACCAGAGAGAGACCAGAGTGAGACCAGAGAGAGACCAGAGAGAGACCAGAGAGAGAGACTTGATACCAGAGAGAGACCCGAGAGTGAAACAAGAAAGAGACCAGAGAGAGAGAGACCAGAGAGTCAGACCAGAGACCAGTGAGAGACCAAAGAGAGAACAGCGACAAGAAAGAGACCAGAGCCACCACTAAAGAGTTCTCAGAGTCATTGAGGCGACAAATGATTTTGAAATGCAAAGTTTTCACAAGAGCCCGAAAGCTGATGACCCGAGTGAATGAACAACAAAACTTCAAAAATGAAATCCAACAAACAAATTGGGAGGAATTTATCAATGAATTAAACTTAGATCATGATTGTTCCAAGATTGTTTTAGGTCCCCTTTTGTTTAGCCTTTACATTAAAGAAGCTATACCCAATTTTTTTCTTAAGTAGTTCATAAAAATGCTTTTTACTACATACAAGTTGTATCATAATACATCATTTAATTGAAAACTTGAGGTCATTGATTCAGCTGTGTATGAAATGTATGCAGTGAAAAGTGTCTTAGCGGGACGCTCATTCTCCTCCAATCACAGAACAAGGAGCGAACAGCCTGCGTCCTCTAGCCTCTACAGCGCTGCTCAACACCAGGGCTTTGACTTCAAAATTTGAATATAATTCTAAAAAAATATATATATACATATTTGAACAAATATTAGACAACCCTTATAATTCGAAATGTATTTAATGACTGCAAATAAAATAGTTAGCTCCCAAAGGTTTCACCGGGACGTGCTAGGCAGGTAACAGCTAAGCTAGCTAGCTCTTTCATGGTAACTTCCTGGTTTTTCGCAATCGCTTTTTGTAACATTAAAACAGTATTTTTGTCATGAAAACGTTAACAGCAAATTCTGAAATCGTCCGTGCATGTGTGTTATGGATGTATATGTGTACTGTATTGTCCGATTAACATTTAATGGCGTTGATTGATTGATATGTAGTTGTTTATTGAGCGTGGCTAGCTGCGCTAGCTTCTCTACACAGACAAGTGTGTAGAGACAGGTACTGATAGCTTGTTGTACTTGCAGAGTAATGGCAGTATTTTACACACCTGAATTACAAACAGAGATTTCATTGGGGCTGCGGTCATTGTTGATTTGAGAGTTCTGTTAGCAAGAAAAAATGATCGGAAGAATTGCTGCTGCTGCTTTGAGGAGCTCTATAGCAAATTATAATTAAATATTAGAATATATTCTAATGTTTTAAATGAATACATTCGAACGCGAAACTAATGGTATTCTTTTACTTATATATTGTGTTAGCAGTGCGTTGCTTTAGTGCCATTTCATCAGTGATTGTTGTACAGCTTACAAGAAGTTGCGCTAATGCTAATGTTTGCATATGTATCAGATCGCAAATAAAACAAGATGGCTCCGTGGGATGAGAGCGTAGGGGAAATGAGAAGCCATTAAGCGAGTTAGGGGGCGGTGCTAAATATCCAAACATTGCAGAAACGGGTATAGTGCCTTTAAAGTGGTTCTCACCCCCGCTCCTTGGAGCTTACGTTACTCACATTTCCTGTTCAAATCTTCCTCTAAATGGGCGTAGCCTGGAGGACTAAAGGGGGCGTGAACGAGACTGGGCCGTTTACATTGCTCTGGGCGGGGGGCTGCTGACGTCAGGTCTTGCTTCAGACGTCAGGTCTTGCTGCCGCGCCAGTGTTGGCGCCAGATTCAAAATTCAAATGTAGTAATACAGGTCGCCAGCAGATGGCGCCTCACAGACGGTTTTAGGCAGAAAGTTTAACTTTCAACTAATTTGCACCAAAGTGACAAAATTATGACCAGGATATGTAGACAACACTATTGGACACTCATTTATACCGTTTATCAGCAAAAAAAAAGTGGATTTGAGGGTGAGTTGTCCTTTAATGATTTGCCCACAGTCTGCCCTGAAGTTGATTGCATAATGTATGATGATGACACAGTCTTATTCTGTCATTTTCGCTCCAAAGATGTTGTGGCTGAAAAACTCACCAAATCAATGGAATGTGTTACGTCTTGGCTGAAAGACTGCTGCTTGCAATTTAATGTTTCCAAAACGGAGTGCTTCTGACGATCCGGTGATTTATGTTGAAGGGGAAAAGCTACAGTCTGTCCCTCAGCATAAATATTTTGGACTGGTGATCGATTCACATCTCACTTTTAAAACACATATTGAAAAGATGTGTAAAACAATCAAATTTAATCTTTCAATCAGATCAATCAGATATGAAATGTCAACTGAGGCCGCAAAACTTTTTCTAGACTCAATGATTTTTAGTCATTTTAATTATTGCTTAACAAGCTGGATTCAAGCTAATCAGACTACTTAAGACCACTAGAAATCTTATATAAGCAAGCCATCAAAGTAATGGCAAAAAAGCCAAAATGTTATCACCACTGTTTAATTTTGGAAAAGTATTCCTTTCTAAGTTGGCCAGATCTTCATACATTTTCAAATCTACGCTTAACACTGTAAAAACGACAACTCAAAATTGTTCATCTTACTGAGTTTTTTGCATTCACTGACAATAAAATTGCCAGTTGGAGCTTTAACTGTCTGTTGTGAGCCACTTTAACTCACTTTCAGAAGTTGATTTAGTTGATTTTACTTTGAAGTAGTAGTTGACATGATCAAATAAGGTGAACTTTTCATCAGAAACTTCTGAAAGTGAGTTCAAGTGGCTCACAGGAGACAGTTCAAGTTCCAACTTGCAATTCTATTGTCAGTGAATGCAAAAATCTTAGTAAGGTGAACAATTTTTAGTTGTTGTTTTTACAGTGGATGGAGGATGCCAGGTCCATACGTTTCAAAGCGACTCACAATTTGGCTCCCGCTCCACTCGTGGGTCTAATAAGTCAAAGGAACAGTAGTGAGCGGCTCACTAGAGGCTCCGGGAGGTGACCGTGTGATCCCTCTGAGCAAGAGCACCTTTAGTCAGTCTGCCTGGTCTGTTCGAGGCACCAGAGAGTGGAACTCACCACCACAGACTGTTAAACAGCAGAGCACATACAGGGCTTTTACACAGCACCTAAAGGAATGGATGGTGAACACATACACCTGCCCTCATTAACTGATGTACGATATGAGTCTTGTAAATAGTGTATTCTTGAATGTCTTAACAATATAATGTTAGTCTTGATTGATGTTGTCTCGTTCTTGTAATTTTGTAATGTTAATGTATTTTAATGGCTTTTTAACATCACGGACAGGGGACTACAGATGAAAAATAGCCTCCTTGGCTAATTCTGTCTTTTTTTAATCATATGTTTTATTAAATTGCATTGTCCCTTTTGAAATAAACTAAACTGAAACTGAAACTGAGTCTGACTGGACAGAGACCGGACAGAGACCGGACTTCTGTTGTTTTGAGGACTGGTGTATTTGAAAGTGACCACTCGAGACCATTTTAGTTTGAACTTAACTTAGCACAATCATTTAAGACAATTCTGTTTGAATAAAAAACAAGATAAACATTAAAGCCGCAAGCGGCGTCAAACAGGCCTCACCGCACCGCGCGACTCCCCGCACCGCACCACGCCACATTGTGCCGCACCACACTGCCCCGCACAACGCCGCCTCACACCACACCGCCCTGCACCAAGCAGCACAGCCCCGCGCCACGCCGCACTGCGCCACAACGCGCCACAACGCCCCGCACCACATTAAAGCCGCAAGCAGCGTCAAACGGCCTCGCCGCACCGTGCGACTCCCCGCACCACGCCACATCGTGCCGCACCACGCCTCCCCGCACCACACCACCCTGCACCACACCACCCTGCACCACGCCACCGCGCACAACGGCGCCTCACACCACACCGCCCTGCACCAAGCTGCACCGCGACACGCCGCCCCGCGCCACGCCGCACTGCGCCTCAACGCCCCACGCCGCGCTGCCTCGCGCCGCGCCGCCGTGCTATTATTTGGTCCCGTAGCCATATAAGAATGTTTGTGAAATTGTAATGAATATGATGACGTTGGTTTGGCTTCCAATGTAAATCTTTGACCCCATCTGTAGAGGGCGCTAATGAGACAAGTTAATTTATTTCACTTTCAAATGACCTAAACCCTAGAGTTGAACAATGTATTAAAGTTTTGTGCAAATCAGACTTTGTTTGTGCAAATGGAAGCTATTTTTCTATCGTAAAAAATGGCAAAAAAGGTTACATTTTGCCGCTCCACTGCTCGTACATTGTTTCACTGATCGAAAATCCCTGAAGTCATTTTGAAAGTACATGTGTTGAGATAATGTGGAGCGGTGAAACGGCCGAGGAGGAGTCGCTTTCCAACCGACCTGAATGAAAATGTTTGCTTTTCCTTTTTCCATTTTGCAGTGAAATTTATGGGCTTCTACGGCTCTACGATATATGGCTCTACGACAAACTTGATCTCCAAAACTCCCATAGGGGTATTATTTTGGCTGTTGTAGGTGGCGCTGTTCTGGCATTTTTTGAGTCCCATAAAAATAAACACCAATATATCAAATTTTTTGCCAGGTCTGATTTTTGGGCAAAATTTTAAAACTTTTCATGCATGTTCAGGGGGTCAAATTAAGGCTCAAAGTGCAGAATTTGACATCTCTCGAGCAAAAACAATAGGCCCTTTCCCCATTCGGGGAAAACAAAAAAAATGAAATGAAATTCTTTAAACGCATTTTAAGCTGCATTCGCTATTTTGGCTTTAAACCACAGCATGCCCCTCTCTCCCTCTCCTCCCCCTCCTACTCCCCCCCCCATACATCTGGGACATGTCCTACAAAAACCACAACAAATCAATACTTTTGTTTCTCTTTGTTTGATTCAGAACGCGGTGAATGGATGAACTCTGCTCACACACGCACGCACACATACACATACATACACACCCACAATGCTCACATTACATTGATCTGAGCTTTGTTTCTGTGTGTGTGTGTCAGATCAGGTCTGTGGGGGTGGGGTGGAGGGGACTCCCGGGGGGAATCGTTATTCTCATAAAGTAGTATTAATTCGCCGATGCAATAACGTCCACAAACAGCTGCTGACTCTCCTCTCCATCACACCACATCTTTGAGAAGCACAGGAGGGAGAGAGACACGTGAGGAGCGAGGACTGAGAGACACGAGGAATATGAACAAGAACTCTTCAGCAGTGTTCGAAGTGGGTGTTTTTCGGGTAAGCACTGTTATGCAAGCTGCGAGTGATCACAAACCGGGCAGGATGTCAAGAAACGTTAAAGAATCTGGTCAATTTTCAATATAAAACACTGAGATTGACAAACATTAGTTCCTCCCACAACTTGCAACAAACCTCTTCAATCCGGTAAAGGTCTCCCAGTTTATATTGTGGGGATTTTAATGTCATTCTGGACTTTTTTTCTTCTTAAGTCCTTAGGTTTCCTTTAAATCCACACGCGATTTTCTTCCCGCTCTAACTCAGCTCTAGCTCTGTCCAAATATGGGCGAGTTTAGCTAACTTGCGGTCTCCGTGGTGGCACATGCGCCACTGAGCACAAGCCATTGATTTGAATACGACGCCATCTTGGATCACCAGGGCTTGGGTGAGGCACGTTTGTGCCCTGCCACACCTGGTATCTTTGAAAAACAGGATTTCAGCAATTATGACACCAAATGTGATCAACACTGGTTGGAACTGCAGCAAAAATACATTAAAAGCAGAGGATAATGGAAAACAATAATTAAAGTAATAAATGAAAATAAAAGAATGCCCTCCCCTCATTCTCCACCACCTTTGGAGGGGTTTCCCATTTAGACCTTAGCTTTTCCAACCCCTACTTTGCACAGATGTTTCTGTACACTATGCCAGCCACTTGGTTATGCCGTTCACTGTAGGCATATTTCCCCATGCAGTTATGTGCTGTATTTTATATATATACACATATATATGTGTGTTAGCACATTTCTTCCTATCTTCCCATCATTACCGGCATCTCTGATCTCTTACCATTGTGGGCAGAGACCCGCGTCTGTCGGTCTGAGACCTGGCTGGGCGTCTGAAGCTCCTCTTTCGGTCCTTGGAGTGACTCCCCTGTGCTTCGTGACCCCAATAACTGCTCATCCATTTGGTGAAGTTCCCATCGTCGTCGTCGTCATTATCCAGAGTGATGGCGGGAAGCAGTCGCAGAGACATGATGCAGAAAGACTGAATCCTCTGGAACCAGTGGAATCAAAACCCCTGTGTATGTATGTGTGTGTGTGAGAGAGAGAGAGAGAGACAGGGGGAGAGAGAGTGAGGGAGAGGGGGAGAGATAGAGAGGGAGGGAGAGAAAGAGCGGGACAGAGAGAGAGGAGGGAGAGGAGAGCGAGACAGAGAGAGAGGGGTAACTGCTTCCAACGGCGGTTATCCCTCTCTAAGCTCGGGTCGCAAGGGCCTGGGACAAAAGCTGTCAATAGTCACTGTTAAGGCAGAGTTACAACAGAACAAATAATTACAGCTTTTTAAGATGATTGGCAATTACAAATTGGAAATCATTCATTCATTTTCCTACCCTTTTTTTTGTCTATATCTGGGTTAGGGTGGCAATTAGAGCTGCCACCCAATCCTCACAGCACTGGTCCCTTACTGATTCTCCGGCAGGTGCACAGTCCAGAGTCCACTGTTGATCTAGCAGCGGTGCCACAGCCTTGGTCTTTCGGGCAACGTGGGGTTAAGTGTCTTGCCCAAGGACACAACCACAGCAGACATCAGTGGGAGCAGGTCTTGTGGGGGGATCGAACCCACGACCTTCAGGCCCAAAGGCCAATGGTCTACCAACTGAGCCACTGTCACCTGCAAACTTGAAATTTATTTATGAAACGAGTACGACAAACACTGTCCAATCGTTGAATAAGCTATGCCTGATTTTTTTGAATGAGTTCATCAAAATGCTTATTACTACGTACAAGTTGTATGGAGTGAAAGAATAATGACATGTAAAGCGTCTTTGAGTGTCTCAAAAAGTGATATATAAAACCGATGCATTATTATTATTATTATTATTATTTGTAATTTCATTAAAAACCTTAGCTCAATGATTCAGCTTTGAATGAATTCAGGCCGTTTAAAAGTGCAATAATTTACATACATGTAAAGAAACATTTCATCTGTGAAGACTGTGAGACTTCAGCAGTTGAAGTCTCACAGTCACACCCTCATCTGTTGTACAGGGAGAACATGCAAACTCCACACAGAAAGGTCTGGAGGTGGAAGCAAACCCAAGACCTTCTCGCTGTGAAGCCCAAGTGCTAACGACTGCGCCACCATGTCAGCCACGGTGTGAACGACACAACACAAACATTTTGCTTAAAAAATATATTCTTATGTTAATACTGTGTGTATTATGACCCGAGGACAACCTGAGGACAACACGAGGACTCTAACCCTGTACACAAGCTCTGTGTTCTTCTGGCTCTGGTATAATTATGATGTTTACCAGAAACGACCAAAGAAATGATAATTGATTCATTAAAAGGCTGATGTCAAAACTATTACATAATTCTCTATTCAACCCATAGATCTCTCACCAAACTGCAATCAATACAGAAACAGGTCATCGGAAGGTTCTGCACTATATGATTTAGTCCATTCCTTCTATTCCAGCTATGTACTGTATGACCATGAACACGTGTGACCATAAACATGTATGAACATGAACACATATAAACACGCATGATCATGAACCTTTTTGACCATGTTAGAAATACTTTGGAGTCAGCTGCTTGCAGATAACCACAAAGTCAAAGTTGTAAATTGTAAAAAAGTTGTAAAATAACTAAAGTCTAGGATCCGTGTCAGACTCTAACGTGACTCTATCGTGTTGACTTTCCATGAGCCTCAGGGAGCAGCAGAAAACTCTATACTTTCCACTCGCTGAGTTCAAAGCTGTCGATAAGAATCAAACATGTGCTGAGGGCTGAGGTCACAGAGAAAAGTTATGTGAAGAGCAGAATGTAAAAGGAGCGTTTCCCATTATTATTATTATTGTTTTATTCAATCAAATGTAATTATGCATTGGTTTGATACAGCTTTTCAGGAAACTCAAAGTCTCTTCACATCATAATTCATTCACTTCAAACACTGTGGTGATAAACTACTACTGTAGCCACAGCTGCCCTGGGGCACACTGACAGAAATGAGGCAACCAGTACTATACCAGGCTATTGGCCTCTCCCACCACCACCAACCATTCACACACACACCAGCCCCATTTTAATGTGGGTGAAGTGTCTGGCCTAAGGACACAACCACAGTTTGTTTATCAAAGATGTGTTTGTTTATCAAAGATGTGTTTGTTTCTTGATTCCACAGAATGAGGCGTCTTTATCGCAGCTTTGAACAAGACGCTGATGTGAGATTAGAACTGAGGTCGTCTGATTACATCATATGTGCAGGAGACAAGTTTATTTGTGTCGCACAGTTCTTACACAAGGCTTTAAAGGATAACAAACATAAAGCATTAAAACCTTGCAATAGTAAAGAAACAATCCCTCAGTTTTTACAGAAATAGAACTGTTTTAACCTGGATTTGAACATTGTCAGAGAAGAAGCCTGTCTCATGTTTTCAGGAAGACTGTTCCAGATTTGGGCATGAATCTGAAACACTGTTTAGTCCTGAAGCTTTTCAAGGACTTTTTGCAAAAGGAAGATTTGAAATGGTTGAAATCAATTCAGAGATGAGATGTTGTTTTTGAAACGAGGTTTGATGATTTTGGGGCACTTTCTATACATACATTCATGTTTGGGGCTAAAATGATAAACTAGGTTAATTTCCACCGACAAACTGACAAACCTCATTCTACTCTCTGATTGGATAGTAACAAGTGATGGGCAGTAGCGACGCTACTAGCTTAACTCCATTTTTCAGTAGCTTGCCCATCACTGATAGTAACTAACGAACCCTGACCTACGCATAAATGTTCATCAATATTATGAATTGTGTCCAGTGTCGACAGCTGGTTTGTCCCTTTGATCCCTCTCTTGGTTTTAGAGTCTAAGGACATTTACATAAATATATAACAATACATGTAATAAATGTGCAAAGGATATTAATAATAATATATACAGTACAGACCAAAAGTTTGGACACACCTTCTCATTCAAAGTTCAGTTTTTTATTTTCATGATTATGAAAATTGTAGATTCACACTGAAGGCATCAAAATTATGAATTAACTAATTATGTGGAATTATGTACGTACTAAAAAAAGTATGAAACAACTGAAAATATGTCTTATATTCTCAGTTCTTGAAAGTTGCACCTTTTTCTCTGATTACTGCTTCGCCCACTCTTGGCATTCTCTTGATGAGCTTCAAGAGGTAGTGACCTGAAATGGTCTTCCAACAGTCTTGAAGGAGTTCCTAGAGATGCTTAGCACCTGTTGGCCCTTTTGCCTTCACTCTGTGGTCCAGCTCACCCCAAAACCATCTGGACTGGGTTCAGGTCCCGTGACTGTGGAGGCCAGGTCATCTGGCCCAGCACCCTCCACTCTCCTTATTGGTCAAACAGCCCTTACACAGCCTGGTGTGAATATACTGTCAATAGTAATGAAAAGAAAGGAAACTCATTGGATGAGAAAGTTTGTCTAAACTTTTGGTCTGTGCTGTATATACATTTAGAACAGTTTTGCTGTTTGTAAACCAGGACCAGTGAGATTTTCTGGTGGAGAATAGTTACATTTCATATCTGAGATATTAAACTAATGCGTCATACTTTAATGTGACTCAAGGCTTTTCTTTGAGCTCTGAGATAAAGTCTGATATTTGAAGCAAACGGTTTAAGCTGAGCACACACTGTCCTTTACACAGATATGAAACTATTTGATTAGATCCGTGGCCTTGGTCAGAACAACTGATACTTGTTTGTAAAGACACGACTGTTGTTGGAGCGACACAGAGAGACTTTTAACTGAATTTTGTTTTTGAATAAAGAGTCAATAATGTCATTTAATTATCTTACAATTGAAGCTGTCTTTGTTGATTGGTATTGTTTAGCTTGTTTTATTCCTGACTAGAACCAGAAAGTACCATCACATTAGTCCTGGTCTCAGGTCTCTGTCCTGAAGTCCTCTCACATTAGTGCTGGTCTCAGGTCTGTGTCCTGAAGTCCTCTCAGATTACAGTCCTGGTCTCAGGTCTCTGTCCTGAAGTCCTCTCACATTAGTCCTGGTCCCAGATCTGTGTCCAGAAGTCCTCTCAGATTACAGTCCTGGTTTCAGGTCTCTGCTTGTTACAAGTCTTTCTAAGGCCTCGCACCAAAGTACATCTGAGACATGTTAGAGCCATATGAACCAACTCTGAGTAGCACAGGGACTGGCCTCCTGCAGGGGCTATGAGGAGCACAGGGACTGGCCTCCTGCTGAAACACATTTGTACAGAACAGTCTGTTCTCTTCAAGTGTTTCTCGTGAAGGAAACATGTGTCCTCTTTTCATTTAACTCTTTGTTTCTTTGTACCTTTATATTTTTGTACTTTTGTTTCCAAAATCCCCTACAACAAACTGGAGGATTCAGAGAAATGAACATCATGCTCAATTTTACTTCCATTCCCTCATGTAATATTAAACAACTATACATATCTGCTTAATTTAGTGATTTTTGCTTGCTTCTTTTTTATGTTCAAGTTAGAGGTTTTATACTTGTGTGGTATTCCGGAGGGTGTGGTGGTTATTGTTTATCTGGATCCACATTAAATTAAAATAAAGGACGTAGGTCCGTTGTGATAATACAGAGGCTGATACCGAGGTTACAAAAGCATGTACATTTATTAACATGATTCTGGTCACTGTAACATGATCCTGGTCACTGTAACAGGATCCTGGTCACTGTAACATGATTCTGCTATCCGTTGGTTGCTCTGGGACAGCAGGTTACTTAGTCACAGAAATCTGGGTAAGGCAAGGCGCCGACAGTGCACCGTATGGCTCCATGGCATCAATCTGGGTTAGCGCGATAGCCGCTCACACACATGAGCTGGGTTGACAGCCAGAACCCCGGGCAGTACACAGCAACACAAACGGACCCATGGCAGCAGCTCTGAGAGTGGGAACAGCGACGTACACATGACAACCGGAAGAAAGAGAGTGAGGTCAGAGTACGAGTGAAAGGAGACGTGTCCCTTTTAAGGAGTGATTGACGGGACGGAGAACCAATCAAA